GTAACCACAGATGGACATTTCTTAGTTGTAAGGCATAAGTAACATGAAAAACTACATCAACTTTCCTTCAATCACAGAGTAACCACAAATAAAAGGAATGTACAAAACACAGGATAAGAAATCAAAGTGACTATAAATTATGTTTAAAGAATTCAATAAACACATGCCTATCTCCTGAATTAATCCCAAGAAAACACGAAAAGCTGAAAGAAATATGGAAATTGAATCAGGATATTCAGATGAAATTTGATAAAGAGATAGATATACAACAGCAATGAATGTTTCATTAAGTGTGAGGAGCCTAGTCCCATCTTTTCCTGGGTACTATTGAGGAGAAAAGGATAAGAAATATTAGGTAGGAAGAGAGACCATGCTAATGAGAAGAAAAACAGAAACACAGAAGAGTTTTGAGAGACCTGGATCAATACTCAATGACCTCTTCTATCTCTTCAAAAGGTCTCTTTAAAACAATGTCAACAGGCAGTGCAAAAGATCCCCCCCCCTTTTTAGATCAAAGCATACCGCACAGTAAAGTGCAGACCCTTACAAACACACGGTAACCATGCCTGTGGTTAAGCCATCACCTTATGCAGCCCTGTCTGGTAAAACAAGCTCAGACCTCACTAGGAAACCTCTGTGGGCCTCCACAGTTAAGTCAAATACAAATTTTGGTGGAAAGCATCAGAGATAGAGCGGATCACATAGAAGATAGAAGGTGAAGGTATGAAGACAAGACAGAGTATTAAGATCATTCAGTCATGATTAGTGATCTATTTCTTAAACAGTTGGATGGAACATGTAAGTTTTGGGGAGATAAGAAAAAGGTCTATGTTTTTTAGCATAGAACAATGATGAGAATTCTATGTCAAATGCATAGAAAATATTCTCAATAAAATCATAGGACAGAAGTTCCCAGACTTCTGTTGAAAGAAGGAAAAAATGTCCATCAAGATCCAAAATGGATAGAGTATAACACAGGTAAGAAGACCAGAGAAGAAACTTCCCATTTCATATTATAGATATACAGCGAATATGCAGAATAAAGAAAGTGTACTGGAAAGTGTGAGAGGAAGGATGAAGTCACAAATGGAGACAGGACCATGAGCACATCTCCTGTATTTTCAATGGAAAAAATACCAGGATGTCTTGAAAAGTTGTAGTCCATGTTTGGAAAATAAGAGCTGCTGAACAATGTAAATTTGTATATGAAAAACACTATTTATTACAATCAAGACAGAAAAGCTGTCCCTGTTTATGTCATTCTAAAGAATTTCTCACAATGAAGTCTGCTTGCATTACATAATATAAAGATCAGTTTGTACTGAAGTAAAAAAATAAATAAAGCCAAGAAGCTAGAGGAAGAAATGATGCTAAGACCGCTGTTCAGAAAAGAGGGCCAACACAATGCCACAAAGTAGAAAATCAATAAAGAGTCAGGAATTTAAATATAACTTTCAATAAGAAGTCTGAATATTAACACTCTATATTCCTTTATAAATGGACACAGACTAAGGCTGAAGATAGTGATATATGCTTTAATCTCAGTACTCAAGAGTCAGATCCAGGCAGATCACTATGAGATTCAGACAAGTCTCGTATATATAACCAGTTCTAGTCCAGCTAGGAGTACATGGGCCTGTCTTTTAATAAATAGATAAGCAAATAATACACAATCATATTTGATAAAAAATCATAATGCTTTACCCTGACCCAAGAAATGTACCCAACACCAAATATCAACATAGGAAAAATCATGCATCACTTTTCCAATATCACACTAAAGCTAGTCCCAAGGATGT